TCATGTACAAAATTGAGAATGAAAGTTAATTAGTATTGTATTTTAGGTGTTAGATTGGCAGAGTGTTTATCAATCAACAGCTATACCTATACCTAGATTTCCACCAGTAGATGAAAGTGTTAATTTTATTGGAAGACTAGCTAGAGAGATATTACGTATAACAGATTCTAGGACTACTATTTATATAGATCAGATGAAAGCTTGGTATGATGTTAAAACTAAACAAGAAGTAGCAAATAGAACTTTATTTCAACAAATACATGTAAGTTAGTGAAATTTTGGGAGTGGGAAGTTTTGGACTGTCAGGTTTAGATAGATTACTATGTTTTATATATATTGTAGAGAGCAGTGGGAGGTTTTGGACTGTCAGGTTTAGATAGATTACTATGTTTTATATATATTGTAGAGAGCAGTGGGAAGTTTTGGACTGTCAGGTTTAGATAGATTACTATGTTTTATATATATTGTAGAGAGCAGTGGGAGGTTTTGGACTATCAGGTTTAGATAGATTACTATGTTTTATATATATTGTAGAGAGCAGTGGGAAGTTTTGGACTGTCAGGTTTAGATAGATTACTATGTTTTATATATATTGTAGAGAGCAGTGGGAAGTTTTGGACTGTCAGGTTTAGATAGATTACTATGTTTTATATATATTGTAGAGAGCAGTGGGAGGTTTTGGACTGTCAGGTTTAGATAGATTACTATGTTTTATATATATTGTAGAGAGCAGTGGGAAGTTTTGGACTGTCAGGTTTAGATAGATTACTATGTTTTATATATATTGTAGAGAGCAGTGGGAAGTTTTGGACTGTCAGGTTTAGATAGATTACTATGTTTTATATATATTGTAGAGAGCAGTGGGAAGTTTTGGACTGTCAGGTTTAGATAGATTACTATGTTTTATATATATTGTAGAGAGCAGTGGGAGGTTTTGGACTGTCAGGTTTAGATAGATAACTATGTTTTATATATATTGTAGAGAGCAGTGGGAAGTTTTGGACTGTCAGGTTTAGATAGATTACTATGTTTTATATATATTGTAGAGAGCAGTGGGAAGTTTTGGACTGTCAGGTTTAGATAGATTACTATGTTTTATATCTATTGTAGAGAGCAGTGGGAAGTTTTGGACTGTCAGGTTTAGATAGATTACTATGTTTTATATCTATTGTAGAGAGCAGTGGGAAGTTTTGGACTGTCAGGTTTAGATAGATTACTATGTTTTATATCTATTGTAGAGAGCAGTGGGAAGTTTTGGACTGTCAGGTTTAGATAGATTACTATGTTTTATATATATTGTAGAGAGCAGTGGGAAGTTTTGGACTGTCAGGTTTAGATAGATTACTATGTTTTATGATAGTTAAAGAATTACAGAATTTTCAACTGAACCTACAACGTGGTGTTATCAGGGATAAATCTTGGTTA